ATATATATGATATTTTCTACTACAACAAATAATGCTTTAGTAAACATATCTGTTCTTACATATTTGCATAAGTATCTGATTATTTCCTAATGGTGAAAATTTATCTGTGGGATTGGTGGGTAAATGAGGCATCTACTTTTTTCCCCAAAAAAGTTTTTAATAAAATTGCAAAATTCCCCTTTAGATAGATCATACCCAATTTATACTCCCTTTCCTCCAACCCTAATCCATTCTTTAATCTAATGGTTTAAAAAATCATTATTATTTTGGTTTTCATTTCTTTGAATGCTTCTGAGGCTGAGGTGAACATCTTTTCAAATGTTCTGTGTGAGTTCCCTGTTCATGTGCTTTGCCTATTTTTCTGTTGGAATGTTATCCAACTGATCAATGAATATTCAGATCAATGAAGACTCTTTTTAGTCTTTGTAAAGGACACCTACTGTTTATTGTATTTAATGAGTTGTTTTCTTTTCTGTGCACTTAAGGATTATTTTAAGACTAGAGGCCCACCCTAACCGGTTTGGCTCAGTGGATAGAGCGTCAGCCTGCGGACTCAAGGGTCCCAGGTTTGATTCCGGTCAAGGGCATGTACCTTGGTTGCGGGCACATCCCCAGTGGGGAGTGTGCAGGAGGCAGCTGATCGATGTTTCTCTCTCATCAGTGTTTCTAACTCTCTATCCTTCTCCCTTCCTCTCTTAAAAAAAAAAAAAAAAAAAAAAAAAAGACTAGAGGCCCAGTGCACAAAATTCATGCACGGGGGAGGAGGGGTCCACTCAACCCAGCCTGCACCCTCTACATTCTGGGATCCCTCTCATAATCCGGGAGCACTGGCTCCTAACTGCTCACCTGCCTGCCTGGCTGATCACCCCTAACTGTCTCCCCCTGTGGGCTTGGTCGCCCCACTCAGCCTGCTGCTTGATCATTTGGTCACCCCTCACTAACCCCCCTGCTGGCCTGGTTGCCCCATGCAGCCTGCTGCTCGGTCGTTTGGTTGCCCCTCACTAACCCCTCTGCCGGCTTAGTCACCTCATGCAGCCTATTCAGTCGTTGGATTGCGATGGTCACTTAGGCTTTTATATATATATAGATACTATCTACACTAATAAAAGAGAAACATGGTAATTGGCGTACGGCCGCTACCCTTCCCATTGGCTAATCAGCGAGATATGCAAATTAACTGGCAGCCAAGATGGCGGCCGGCAGCCAGGCAGCTGATGCGAACAGGGAGGCTTGCTTGCTTCAGTGATGGAGGGCTCCAACATTCCCCGCCTGCCGCTGCAGGCCTCTGAGCCTGCAGTTTAAGAAACTATGTAACAAATATAGAAGCTAAAAAAAACTCCAGAAACCAGCTTTCAGCGAGCTGGGATCTCAGAGCTGGAGTCGGAACTGGAGTTATACATTGTTTTGATTATAGAACCGAAACAAACCAGATACCTACTTTCAGCAGCGGAGGACTAAGAGCTGGAGCCTCAGAGCTAAAGCTGGCTCAGAATAAGAAAAAAAAGGAAAAAGGAGCGGTTGGGAGCTTCCATTGCCCGCCATCCTGAAAATAGCCCTCAGCCCCTCACACAGACTGGCCAGGTACCCCAATGGGCACCCCCACCATGAAGGGTGTGTGACCAGCTGCAAACAGCCATCATCCCCTTACCTAGGCTGGCCAGACACCCCAGTGGGGACCCCCACCCTGATCCAGGAGACCCTTCAGGGAAAAC